GATCTTGGGAGGAATTCTGTCTGCCCAGTGATGCAGGTAAACAGACACGTGCAGGAAGCCTCCAAATCAGGTCAGCCCTGCCATAAAACCAAGTTTACTCTCTGCTCCCTTCTCCCGCCGCCCAGAGAGCATCCCCCATGCCCCCGCTGCCCCCCCTGCCCCCCCTGCCCGCGCCGCCGGTACCGGGAGGGTCTTGGCCCCTTGGCCCGGGGAGGCTGACCCCACCCATGGGCATCTTCCAGATGGCTCTCTCCCCCTTGGGCCCCGAAGCCAAGCAGGAGGGATTAGGACACCGTCCTCCTTATCAAGGAAGTTCCCAGCTTGGAGCAACTCTGAAGCCACCGTGCCCTTTCTGTCAATAGCATGATAATTCCTGCAAGCTATCAGAGGTTCCCAGCGCCTTCCTGCCGAGGTGGCGCCCACTTCCTCTTCGTGGGTTAGAAGGGTTCCATCTGTCTCTGTCCTGAAATCATTCTCTGTCACGCGGGATACGTGGTAAACTTTCCCCAAACTGCTGGTTTCCGCATCTATGACATCAGGCCGCACCCTCGGCCTCACGGTGTCCCCTGCGTCAGGAGTGACTGTGGGTCACGGATGCTAAGCCAACATTGATGAGAAACTGTGCTGTGATTTTAGGTGCAGCCAAGAGAGGAAGGTGCTGCCTGTTTGACTGTCATGGTGCAGGTTAGGCTGACAATGCACCGAGATTCCAGATGCGTTAAAATGTGCAGAAAGTCGAAGGGACGACCCAGCGCGGCATCATCACCCCGTTTCAGGAAGAGAAAGCAGGAGCTTCATGAGGTCCCTCAACTTGCCTGAAGCCTCCTGGAGGCGACCGCTGCAAGGGCGGCAGGGGCTCTTCCGGGGGACCAGACACAGCTCAGAGGATGCTTCCCTGATGCATCAATTGGTTTTGTCCTTGGGGCAACAGTCCTCTGAGCAGTGCTCCTATGATCACCATTTTCCAGATGAGATGCCCGAGGCACAGAGAAGGTGATGTGCTGGCTCAGGGCTACACAGCTGAGGGGTTTCAGGGCCAGGATACCATCTCCTCCCAGTGTCTGGAGCCCCAGGCCCTGGATTCGAATTCCAGTTTGTCCCTCTGAGGTCAGGTGCCTCCCATCTGTGTCATCCAAAAAGCAGGGATATAACCACAGTTCCTACCACTCAGGAGTTTTTGATTTTCTATGGACTGAATTATACAGTGAAGCCTTCAAGAAGTGTGCCCGGCCCACTAGGGCTGCCACCAGGCTGGCGTCTGAGACGGGGCTGGCAAAGTGTCCGGAGGGGCCTGGAGACACCCGTCCACTCCGCAGTCTCGGCAGAAAACAGGAGCCACAGCTGACTGTCTGCTTTAAGACGTGCGGCTGGTCCAGGCCTGGCTCTTTCCCCAGGGCAGGGGGTTGGAGGGACCTGGCGTTTGGGGTGTGGGTGTGGACCTCCGGGTTGGAGATGTGCCCCAGGTGGAAGGGTGGAAGTTCAAGTCTTCCCCCACTGCAGCCCCTTGAGGGCACCGGGCTATAGGGGAGGAAGGTCTGGGTCCGGCTGCCTGGCCACTCCAGCCGGACAGTCTGCGCGTCCAGTCAGACCCCGCTGTTCTCACCTCCTTGCCCTGGAGGGGAGGAAGCCAACCCCACAGAGTCCCACACGGGAAGGGCTGTGAAGCTGCCCCCTTTTTCTGCCCCTAAGCTGTACCTGTCCACCAGGACAGAGCCTCTGCCCTGCAGCCTGCGTGGGCTGAGGGAGGTGGGAGTGTCGGGTCTGGAGAAGGCTGCTGGGACGGCTCAGCCCCCAGGTCCTGCAGCTACAGCAGAGTGACCCCAACGGCCCTGCAGGTCACCTGCGTTGGGACCTCGGCCACGCCCAGAAACTGGAAAGGAAGGGACAGGCGTGGGGGAGGAGTGCCAGCCCTGGGCAGGCAATGCTGAAGCCAGTGTGCCCTGCCTTGGTCGCCTTGGCCAGGAACAGCTGGGCTGGGCTAGGCCAGGGTCAGGATCAGGGTCAGGGTCAGGCAGCCCAGGGTCCTGAGGGTCGTGGGGGCCGCTTCTCCATCATGTCATGTGTCCGAGGAGAGAGCTGTGAGGAACATGCTGCCCCTGGGGGTCCCAGGACACCACCCGCCCCAAGAGGAAAGCGCTGGACTCGCACCTCCCACCCATAGGCTCCTTGCCCACCCGTGGGGCCCTGTTCTTGGCCGGATCCGGGCTGGTGGGCGTTTCATCCTCACCTGGGTCAGTCCCCCATACAAACAGGAGCTATCTGATGCCCGCTTCTGGTCCCAAATCAGAGCTGCCAGAGTGAGTCAGCGTCCTGGCCTGCATCCCATCCCCACATCCCTCCACCGTCCTCCTGTTGCCATGGCAACGCTTGGGCGGTCCTGTCAGCGCTGGACCCCAGCCCTCTATCCAAACAGGCACTGCCTTGCTCCCCAGTAAACCCGCTAGTTTAGCAGGTCTGGGTGGGGGGCTGGCAGCAGCCCAGGTGCAGGCTGTGCAGTCCCCCGGGAAACCGGGGGAACAAAGGCTTCTGGGGCCACTGCCCTGGGCGAGCCACACCCCCATGTGTGGCTCCCGCTTGCCACAGACAGCACCCTACTGTGAACCCTTGGACATGAACCCTCTTCCTGCAGCGGTTTTCATGGACCCCCTTTTCAGGTGAGGAAACTGAGGGTGGCCAAGGCTCACCCCAGCCGTGCCCCTTCCCCTGTGCTGCCCTCACTAAGCGTGAAGGCCCCTGAGAGCAGGAGGGTGGAATCACTGCCCCACTGCTTTAAGGGACCCCTTCCAGCCCCCCACTGGGCTCGGGGAGGTCACAGGGAAGAAGGCCCCTGGTTTTCAAGGCTGGGTCACTGGTCCCACACCTGCCCCGACTCCAGACCCCCTCTCCATGGGTCCCTCTTATGGGGTTCCCCCACCCTGGGAAGGGATGCTAACCCCGGTGCAGGGCGTGCCTGGTGACTCAGATGGGTCGGGGGCGAGGTGTGGACTCAGGCCTGTGCCCTACGCAGGGAGCATGGACACTGGTTGACGTGTAACCTTCCTGCCTTCCTGGGGTCGTGAGGAGGGGAGACCCGTGTCACTCATGCCTCCCTCAGCTTGGGCCTGGCCCCCAGCTGCAGACCCTTGAGCCTCCCCACCAAGGCAGTGGTTCCCAATGTCCAATATCCTAACCACAAAACCCACACAGCCCTTTGGAGCCAGACTGGTCCCCTCAGCCTGCCCCTAGGGGCCTGCCCTGCTCAGCACCAGGTGACGTGCTGTCAAGCTCTAGAGCCAGGCAGCTGTGTGGGGGAGGGTGAGAATGTGATACACCAGCCTGCAGGGTGGGTGGGGGAGCAGGGGGGCACGGAGGTGGCGCCAGCTCCCTTCAACCAGCATCCACGCCCCCTGCTATGTGATCACCCGCCCACCCACCCACTCACTCACTCACTCATTCACTCACTCACTCATTCATTCACTCTCTCATTCACTCACTTGCTCATTCATTCATTCACTCACTCGTTCATTCATTCACTCGTTCACTCACTCACTCGTTCATTCATTCACTCACTGTCATTCATTCACTCACTCGTTCATTCACTCAGTCATTCATTCACTCACTCGTTCATTCACTCAGTCATTCATTCACTCACTTGCTCATTCATTCATTCACTCGTTCCTCACTCGTTCATTCACTCAGTCATTCATTCACTCACTCGTTCATTCACTCAGTCATTCATTCACTCTCTCATTCACTCACTTGCTCATTCATTCATTCACTCGTTCCTCACTCATTCATTCACTCGTTCATTCACTCAGTCATTCATTCGCTCACTCGTTCATTCACTCAGTCATTCATTCACTCATTCACTCAGTCATTCATTCACTCACTCGTTCATTCACTCAGTCATTCATTCACTCACTCGTTCATTCACTCAGTCATTCATTCACTCACTCGTTCACTCACTCGTTCACTCACCCACCATGTCCCTCCCCCACTCTCCTGTTATGTGTGAGGCGTTCTTTCTACCAGGTACCAGGGCCAGTTTGGGGCATGCGGAGGGGATGGCTCAGGGGCCAAAACCAGGTGACCAGAAGGAGCTTGGGACAGGCCCCAAGTGAGCCAGAAGCAAATGCTGAGAGCAGCTCCTGGGAGCCCCCTGGCCCCAGGCCCCGCCCCAGCATGGTGGGGACCTTGCTCACCTTGCTGCCACTCCGTCCCAGGTAGAGCCTCCTGGCTGGGCTCACCTGTGGCAGTGGAGACCCCAGCCTTGGGGGGGGGGTGTGCGGACCCCTGGGACGGAAGTCCAGCCGCAGCGCCTGGCTCCCTGATAGGCCCACTGTCTGAGGCTGCGTGTCCATCACACCCGGGCGCTTTCTCAACCAGAGCCCATCAGGGCCAAGACCACTGGGCCAGTTTCTGGGCTCGTTCAGTCGGCATCTCTCCAGCGCAGTGGGCTCAGCCACCCCTGCCCCTCAAGGCCACAGGCCCACTTGTGACTGGAGCTGGCCTTGGGTCACCCGCCCAGCTGGGGCACAGCCAGGCTCCCAGGCAGTACGGGTCGGGGGGCTGCACTGTGAGGCGGGGTCCTGTCACTGGGGGTGCCGTGCCCTGAGCCCTTCTCCAGTGAGGGTGGGGCTGGCCACAGCAGCCCCGGCAGCAGGGAAGAGGCCAGTGGCCACTCCAGCTGCCAGGAACTCAGGGGTCTGGCGGCACGGCGGCAGAGTGCCCAGGGAAGGTCCAGGGGCAGGGGCGTGGTGGAGGATGCCTGAGGCCAGGACTGGCGGACCCTCAGGGACCACGTCCCACCCGGCAGACACACCCATCCCTGCCTGTCTTCAGCTGCCGGCCAGCCCGTAGCCAGTGGCCACTGTTTACCTGGGTGAGGGGAACCACAGGCCCTGCCCCACCCTCCCACGTGAGGCCCGTGGGGCTGGAGCCAGCTCTGGGACTACAAAAGGCTCCCGCAGACGCAGAGCCCTCCTCAGAGGCTGCCCTGGGGACTTCTCCCCCCACACACCATGGGTGTCGGCCGGAGGAAGCTGGCCCTGCTCTGGGCCCTGGGCCTCACTCTGGCCTGTGCCCAGCACACAGGTAAGGTTCGTGCTGGCTTTCCCAGGCTGGCCCTGACCATGGCCTGGGACCCCTGTGGCCCCCCCAAATCCTAGGGTGGCCCTGGCCCCCGGCGGGCAGCAGGCAGCTCTGAGGCCTTGTCCTGGGCTCTGGTCAAGCTGAGTGCATCCGTGAGCTGCTCTTCCAGCTTGTGGGGCTGGGGAGGGGTTCTTGGGGGCTGTGGGGTCCATGTGGGGGTTAGGGCTGGGAGCAGCCCAGTATCTATGAGCCCCTGGCTGCAGAATCTCATCCACACGTGCGTCTCTGCTGCTCTCTGCCCCCTGCCCCCTGCCAAGCCTGGTCTGAGCAGACTCTTGAACTCCTGGCCCAGCCTGGCAGAGCTGCCCACCTGCCTGGGACCCCCCACCCCCCCACCCCGTGCATCCCTGGTTCAGCAGCTCGCTTTCCCTGTCTGTTTCTCTGAGGTGGGCTCAGTCCTAGGTGGAGGGTGTGATGAGGGCGGCTCACAGGCCCCACGGTCCTCGGAGGCCCCTTCCCGTATGGGCCTGCACCTCCCTCCTCTGCTTCCCAGGGGATAGCAGGGCCCTGGATGGGTGAGGGGTGGCTCCCAGGCTCCTGGAATGGCAGCTTGGGGAACATGCCGTGTTACCCAAGGTCCCCACTGCCCCAGGCGGCTCACACATCCCGGTCCCCAGTCTCCCGCTGCCACCAGACAGTCTCAGAACTGGGAAGCTCTCTCTTGAGTACTCCGGGCAAGGCTGCCCCACTGGATGGTCCCTGGACACATGGCGAGGATGAGTCCAGGTTGTCCCAGGTGACCTGAGAAATGGGGCCAGGACACCAGTGAGTGAAGCAGTGCTCCCTGGATCAGCCCCCCATCCAGAGGAGGGCTGGGCCTCCCCTTCTGGGTGGGGGGCTGGGCACCCTCCTGCCATGCCAGCTCTGTGCAGGATCATGGCAAGCCTGTGTCTGGTGACATTCTGCACCTTTGGAACGGCCTCTGAGGACCCCAGAAATGAGGTTCTTGGGGTGGCCTCCAGGCCAACACTGCCTGTCCCTGGGCCCTGCCTACCTGACCTCCATGGTGCTGGGCCCCTACCCGTGCAGTGGCCCTGAGCACCCCATTTTGGGTGCAGCTCTGTCCCCACTCTTGGTCCCAGATCCCCAACAGGCTCTGAATTTTCCTCCAGAGCTCTGGTTGCTTTGGACCAGCTGCAGCAGACCCGCGGCTTTACTGTCTTCTCCCTCAGTAGATGATGCTCCTGGACAGGGGCTGGCTGCCTGTCCCCCTACTCAGTGGGCATGAATGAACAGTGAACAAAGGAATGGCCCCTGGAGAGACCAGCCGGGGTCACCCCACATGCTCATGGGGCCGGGGACACCCCCACATGCTCATGGGGCCACCTGAGGGGGAGGTCAAGGGAGTGGTGGCCCAGCCGTGGGCCCGGGTGACCTCCAAGGCTCGGCAGCCTGGAAGAAATCCTCCCAGTGCCCCCGTCCGCACAGAGAATCCCACCATCTGGACTTTCCGCCCCTCCCTCCGTGCATCCTCTGAGGGGACGTGCCTGTCCTTTGGCCGGCTCAGGCCCAGCGCCCTCTCCTCTTCCCAAAGGCCAGGGCCGGGACAGCACTGCAGAGCTCGGCTATGCGTACCCGGACCTCCCTCCTGCCCCCCAGGGGCCTGGTGGTGAGTGGATCCCCCACCTGTCAGAGCGCCCCCCCCCCAGCAGTCAAAGAGCCCTTGAGGGGCCATGGGTCACTCGCCTTGGGCCCTGCAGGCTGCTTGCCATCCCCATCCGGTGTGGCTGAGACAGGGTGACAGGCTGGCTGGGAGCTCACAGAACGTCCCTTTCTTCCTGGAGTTAACACCTGATACTCCAGTGGTGGCAGGGCGGGTGAGGGTCAGCCCCCAGCGCGGCCAGACGCCCCAGAGCAAGGGGAGGCTTGGGGACAGACCCAGCCACCTCAGTTTGCATGTGCCCAAAAGGGGCTCCCAGGGAGGCGCACCTGTGCCTGACGTCAGCACCCGAGGGATTGCCCGTAGCTGCTGATGTGTTTGTTTTTTTTAATCGGGGTGTAGTTTTACAATGTTGTGTTAGTTTCTACTGTACAGCAAAACGAAGTAGAGTTCCCTGTGCTATCCAGCAGCTTCTCAGTTGTTACCTATTTTATACATATTAGTGTATATATGTCAATCCCAATCTCCCAATTCATCCCACCCCCTTTTCCCCGCTTGGTGTCCATACGTTTGTTCTCTACGTCTGTGTCTCTATTTCTGCCTTGCAAACTGGTTCATCCGTACCTTTTTCTAGATTCCATGAATATGTGTTAACGTACGATATTTGTTTTTCTGTTTCTGACTTACTTCACTCTGCATGACAGTCTCCAGGTATTGATTCAGGCATTTTTGAGATTCCGGGAGCAAGGAAGCCCCAGTGCAAACAGCATTCTGGGCCACGGGGTGTGAGAGCTGGGGCCCCTGGGGTGCTCTGCTCTCCGCCCACAGTGGTCCCCGCTGGCCTTGGTGTTCACACCGGCCGGGAGGCCATATACACGGCAGAACCCGGAGCCGGATCTAGAGTCCGCCAGACCCGAGCAGTCGCGGAGCCGCCAAAGCCTCTCGTGGGGGCTGAGCTGTGCCTGGGCGGTGGGGGTGAGGGCTGTGCATCACCCGCCCTGTTTCCACAGGCAACTCCCTCCGCGGGGCGACCATCCACCCGCCTCTGAGGAGCACCCCCCTGGTGCGAGGTGAGACCCCGAGAGGCCAGGCGGGGGGGCCGTGTTGGCCGAGCTCTGCCTCGTCAGACCTGGGGGGCGGGCAGGGGGACCGCAGCTTCCCAGGTGGATAAGGGCCCAGGTTTCGGGAGGTCCGGGTGTCCCAGACTCGGTGCCCTCGGAAAGGCCCTGCTCTGTTCGGCCCACAGCCCTGAACGCGGCGCACCGTGGGCGGGTGTGCAGCACATGGGGCGACTCCCACTACAAGACCTTCGACGGCGACGTCTTCCGCTTCCCCGGGCTGTGCAACTACGTCTTCTCCGCGCACTGCGGTGCCGCCTACGAGGACTTCAACCTCCAGCTCCGCCGCGGCCCAGGCCCCAATGCCACCGCGCCCAGCAGGGTCACCATGAAGCTTGACGGCATGGTCGTCGAGCTGACCAAGGGCTCCGTCCTGGTCAACAGCCTCCCGTGAGTCTGGGCCCTGGACGGCGAGGATGCTCCTGGGCCGTCGGGGGAGGGAAGTGCGGTTGTCCCAAGAGTGGGTCCCGGAGCGGTGCCCCCCAGGCCCCCATGTTTGGCCCCCTGCCCCACCCAGGGGCTCAGGCTCTTCCTCTGCCCCTGGAAGCGGCCCCTTCCTCGTTCTTCTGATGCCAGAGCTCCAGGCTCTTGTGGGCATGTTGACCTTGTCATACGTGTGACTGAAGGGACCCTCCCTGCCTGAAGTCCAGACCTATGTTGCCCGTCCCCTCGTGCCCTATGGCGCCTCAGCTGGGCCCTCTCTCCGCAGAATTCAGCTGCCCTTCAGCCGCTCCGGAGTCCTCATTGAGCAACGCAGCAGCGGCGTGAAGGTGGCGGCCAGGCTGGGCCTGGTCTTCATGTGGAACCAGGATGACAGCCTCCTGGTGAGGTGGGGGGCCGGGCTCGGGGAACCAGGCACATGCCTCCAGCCTGACAGCCTCTCCAGGGAGGGAGGAAGGTGCTCTGGGCGAAGGAGGGTGGGAAAGCCAGACACCCCCAGCCCCGTGGCAGTGAGGATGGGGCCCAGATGCTAACGGGGCCCCAGGGTCCACACCCCTGATGGAGACCCTGCGTGTGGGGGTAGCTTCCTCCAGGACAGACCCCCTGCTCCGGGTCCCAGCCGCGTGGAGCAAATGGGGAGGGTCCTCTGTGAGGAGGCCCAGCTGCTCCAGCCTGGGGAACCTCGTCTGTCCTTCTGGTCCGGGGCTGTCCCTGGCACGGCTGGAGTCTGATGTGTCCTCTCATTGCAGCTGGAGCTGGACCCCAAGTACGCCAACCAGACCTGCGGGCTCTGCGGAGACTTCAATGGCGTCCCCGTCTTCAACGAGTTCTTCTCCCACAGTAAGCCCCGGGGCGCGAGCCCCCCTCCCTGCCGCCTGCTCCAGCTCTGTGCTCCCTGGAAGCCTGCCTTCCAGGGTCCCAAGTCAGAGGTCTCAGTCTTAACACACGTGCACGCACCCACACGTGCACGCAGACCCACACACTCGAGGTCCAGCATGCACGCTCACCTACACCACGCACATGTGCACAGACTCGGGCATGCCCCAGCGCACGCAGACGCACGGCGTGCGCTCACGTGCACTCACCCCCACCCCATCTCACCCAGCACACGCTCTTGGCGGGGCAGCCCCCGCTGAGCCCTCCTGTTCTCAGTGCCTGTCACACACCCTCCTCTGAAATCGAAGACCTGCCTCCATCCAGACCCTGTCTCTGCTTCTTGGTCCTTAAGACTTTGCCAAACAGTGGTCTTTTATGTGACCCACACCCGCTGCAGCCCCGATCCCAGGGTCCCCACTGTCAGGCCCATGAAGCCCCACGCAGAGCCCATACGTAAGGGACTCCCTTAGGGGAAGCCTGTCCGAGTGCCCAGCAGTGGCCGGCAGGGGCCCAGGGTCACTCTCCAGCCCTGGGCCAGCGGAGCGTCAGTTAACGGACCTCAACCCGCTGCCCTGCAGCGCTGAATGCCCGGGAGTTCCTCATTTCATCTCCAGACTCCCCGAAAGTCCTGTGTAGCCACTGCTTAAGCTGGCGGTGTGGAAGGGGAAGGCCAGCGTAGCCCGGTCGCCCCGAGCGAGGGCCGCTGGGAGCCTGCAAAGAGCCCGGTGTTGTGCTTCTGTCAGACATCAAGCTGACCGCCACCGAGTTTGGGAATCTGCAGAAGATGGACGGCCCCACGGAGCAGTGTCAGGACCCTGCCCCTGAGCCCCCCGTGAACTGCTTGACCGGTTTTGTAAGTCCCAGAGTGGACGGGGGTGGCGTCCGGCTCCCACGGCCCCGGAGACAAGCCGAGGAGGGGGCCGTGAGCCAGGGGATGTTCCAGAGCCTGGACTGAGTGCCCCGGCTTTGCCCCAGGGCATCTGCGAGGAGATGCTGAGCAGCGAGCCGTTCTTGGACTGTGCCGTGCTGGTGGACGCCAGCAACTACGTGGAGGCCTGCCGGCAAGATCTCTGCCACTGTGGCCAGGCCAACCTCACCAGCTGCCTCTGTCACACCCTTGCTGAGTACTCCCGCCAGTGCACCCATGCCGGGGGGCTGCCCCTGGACTGGCGGGGCCCCCAGCTCTGCCGTGAGTGCCCTGTGTGAGCCCAGCCCAGCCATGCCGTCCCTTCTCGGGCCGGAGGCAGGGGCAGGGCGTGACATGCGCCCCATCTCCTCCCTGCAGCCCAGACGTGCCCCCTCAACATGCAGTACCGCGAGTGCGGGTCGCCCTGCGCGGACACCTGCTCCAACCTGGAGCACTCCCAGCTCTGCGAGGACCACTGCGTCGCCGGCTGCTTCTGCCCTGAGGGTGAGCCGGAGCCCCACCCCCTCTGGCCCCCCAGAATTACACAGATGCATTGTAGGTGCTCAGGCAGGAAGGCCCCTCTGACGTGGCCCGAGGTGTCCCTGGACCCCTGGGTCTGAGGAACCCTCCAGGGCAGGGCCACTGTGGGCAGAGGGCCTGTCCCCTCCACACACCCACATGGCAGGCACAGTCCGGCACCTGCCACGTGGCCTGCCTGCCTCTGCAGGGACGGTGCTGGATGACGTCGGCCACACTGGCTGCATCCCGGTGCCCCAGTGCTCCTGTGTGTACAACGGGGCTACCTACACTCCAGGGACCGGCTACTCCACAGACTGCACCAACTGGTAGGACCCTGGGCCCCTGCCCTCCCCTCCCCCGGAGATGCCCAGGGACGGCCCCTGCCTTCTGGTCCCCCTAGATGTGCCCGGGCCGGCCCCTCTGGGGGCTTGTCCTCTCCCACGCGGGTCCCCGGGTGGAGGCTAGTGGCTCTCTGGGCAGACGCTGATGGGCTCCAGTCTATGTGGTGATGCAGGCAGGCCTGGGCAAGTCTACCTGCCGTCTTGCGGGGGCGGGCTGCTCCCGGGGGCCAGCACCCACGTGGTCGCTCCCTGCTCTCAGCACCTGCTCTGGAGGCCGGTGGAGATGCCAGGAGGTGCAGTGCCCGGGTACCTGCTCGGTGCTGGGCGGTGCCCACTTCTCCACGTTCGACGAGAGGCAGTACACGGTACACGGGGACTGCAGCTACGTGCTGGCCAAGGTACATGGCCCCAGGGTCCTCCCCGGACAGAGCGGCTTTCAGGTCATGGGTCCACGTGTCCTTCCCCAGCCTGGGCTGCATGTAGGTGCTGCATTTGGGGCCACCTTGGGATCCCCGACGCCGAGTCCTCCAGGAAACCACCGGAGCTCTGGTCGGGCGGATGGATGGTGGGGAGGGGAGAGGATGAGGCGGGCTGGGGGCGCCGCGCTTTGTGTGAGGACCTGTGTTTCCAGCCCTGTGACAGCAGCGCCTTCACCGTGCTGGCCGAGCTGCGCAGGTGTGGACTGACCGACAGCGAGACCTGCCTGAAGAGCCTGACGCTGACCCTGGGCGGGGGGCACATGGTGCGTGCAGACCCTGGGGTTGGGGGTGTCCTTCACGGCAAGTGAACTCTGCCCGAGCCCTTGATCCCACATGGGCAGCAGGTGGCCGAGGCATGGCCCGAGGACCCTCCCACTGACTCCCTGCTTCCACCTCTTGTGGCTCTTTTGAGTGACCATCCCCAAAGGGAATAGCTCAGGGACTGGCAGGGGGCCTCCACACCTCCCCCGTGAGGCCAGGAAGCTTCTCTGCTGAAGTCGACTTTTTTACTTTAGTAAATCTCTTTGGTTTTCACGTCGCCAAAAAGCGGTCCGGTCCTCGCGGAAAGCTTAGCGGAGCAGGCTGAGCCTGGGGGATGGGGGGCCAGGTCATCAGCCCTCCTCTGCCCTGGGGAGGCCATCGTGAGCCCTGTCATGTGCTTCTCCAGGTCTTCGTGGTAAAGGCTAGCGGGGAGGTGTTTGTGAACCAGATCTACACCCAGCTGCCCCTCTCGGCAGGTGAGGGCGCCTCCCTGCCCCGCCCCCTGACAGCCCCACCCCCTGACAGCCCCCTGCCCCGCCCACTGAGACCTGGTCCCCTGTGTCTGCAGCCAACGTCACGCTCTTCAGACCCTCCACCTTCTTCATCATCGCCCAGACCCAGCTGGGCCTGCAGCTGGACATCCAGCTGGTGCCCGTCATGCAGGTGTTCGTGAAGCTGGCGCCCCAGCTCCAGGGGCAGACCTGCGGTAAGAGGGTCACCACCCAGCACCCGAGCCCACCCTCCGCAGCCCAGCACACAGGGGCCTCACGCCACCCCCGCCCCCAGGCCTGTGCGGGAACTTCAACCAGAACCAGGCCGACGACTTCCGGACCATCAGCGGCGTGGTGGAGGGCACGGCCGCCGCCTTCGCCAACACCTGGAAGACCCAGGCTGCCTGCCCCAACGTCAAGAACAGCTTGGAGGACCCCTGCTCCCTCAGCGTGGAGAACGGTATGTGTGTCCAGCAGCCCCGCGGGCCAACCTGGTGCTGGGGCCCCTGGGCCAGAGGTCTGAGCATGTGCTCCTTGGGGGCCCGGCCTGAAGGGGGCGTCCGGTGGTAGGTAAACAGGCAGACTCAACATGCGTTGTTCTGGCCGGTGAGCCCCGGGAGGAGAGGATCAGGGTGCTGGGGGGAGTGGAGGCCCACCCTCCTTGCCTGCTCTCCTGGGGGACCGGGCTCGCGGGACGCTCGGGAAGCAGCCTGGGTCTGCTGACACCTGGCACTCCCTCACACGGAGCATAAGGGATTCCGGCTAAAAGGAAAGCTGCTCATCTCCATGTAGCTCCCGCCTGACGTGACCTTCCAGCCTCGCTGACCGCCCCCTCCTCTGTCCACAGAGAAATACGCTCAGCACTGGTGCTCGCGGCTGACAGACCCCCACGGCCCCTTCACCCGGTGTCACGCTGCTGTGAGCCCCAGCGCCTACTACTCGGTAATGCCACCCACCTGCCTCTGCCCTTGGACCACTCGGCCACCCTCAGGGTCCCAGGGGCCATGGCAGCAGCGTCTGGGCCCAGCAGGTCTCTCAGTCTCCAGTTTCTCCCACCCCCATTCACTCACTCATTCATTCACTCATTCACTCACTCATCCACTCATTCATCCACTCACTCATTCATCCACTCACTCATCCACTCACTCACCCATCACTCACGCGCCTGCTGCGGCCCTGAGCCCGCCCTCTCCTCCAGCTCCATGCTAAGGCACGGGGGCTACGCCCAGGGCGTGAGTAGCCTGCTGGCCCCAGGGTGCAATGAGAAACTCGCGTCTAAGGCTGAATACATAGGGGTGGGCCGCTGGGTCACACAGATGAGGGGCTGTGGTCCTTCCAGCGCCCCCGCCCCCCAGCCCAGGGGCGTGATGGCAAGATGCTCTGTGCACGTTAGTGGGACCCCCGTGAGGCTCGGGGAGGGGTCCTGGGGAGGCAGGGGCTCCGGCAGCAGCACGGGGGAAGCTCACCGTGTGTGGCCTGGTGTCCCTGACATCCTGACGCCCCCACAGAACTGCATGTTTGACACGTGCAACTGTGAGAAGAGTGAGGACTGCATGTGCGCGGCCCTGTCCTCCTACGTGCGGGCCTGCGCCGCCCGGGGCGTGCTGCTCGGCGGCTGGCGGGATGGCGTGTGCAGTGAGTGTCCCAGGGTGGATGTCCCAGGGCCCCCGTCCCCCAACCAGGCTCAGAGGCCAAGGAGCGCCCAGGCCGGTGCCCCGGGACCCCATCAAGGACGAAGGGCCTGGCGGGAACAGGGAAGCCAGGGGGGCCGGCCCTGTCCTGAGTGCTACCCCCTCCTGGCATCGTGCAGCAAAGGCCATGACCACCTGCCCCCAGTCGCTGACCTACCTCTACAACATCAGCACCTGCCAGCCCACCTGCCGGGCCCGGAGTGATGCGGACGTCACCTGCAGCATCAGCTTCGTCCCCGTGGACGGCTGCACCTGCCCTGACGGCACCTTCCTGGGTGATACGGGCAAGTGTGTGCCGGCCACCAGCTGCCCCTGCTACCATGGGGGCTCCGTGGTCCCCAATGGGGAGTCGACGCACGAGCAGGGGGTCGTCTGGTAAGAGCCCCTGCTGAGTGGGTGGGGTGGGCGAGGCTGGGGGGCTCTCTGACCACTCTCTCCTTGCAGCACCTGCACCCAGGGCACACTGACCTGCATTGGAGGCCATGCCCCAGCTCCAGGTGAGCCCGGAGTGGGGGAGGGGGCCCTCGGTTATCTCTGCATAAAGTTACCTAAGTACGGGGTTAAATGCCCACAAGTCAGCGAGGCTGCTGGGTGTCAATCAGCGTCTCTGGGCTCAGCAGTGTGGGCACCCTGCCCACGCACTCACACGCTCACCCCGGGGCGGCCAAATTCTGCCGTCGGGAGACACGTCCCTCAAGCGAGCCTGGTAGGTGGCGTCAGGGTCCCCTGAATGGCCCCTCCCTCGCCAGTCTGTACCCCACCCATGGTCTACTTCGACTGCCACAATACCACGCTTGGGGCCGCTGGGGCTGGCTGTCAGAAGAGCTGCCACACCCTGGACATGGACTGTGTAAGTGTCCCCGGTGACCCCCTCCAACAACCCCACACCTGCTCGGCCCCCATGGGCACCTGTGGAGAAGCCCACTCACTGGCCCCAGGGGACCCCTGCCCGCAGGCTGCTGGTCCTGTATACCTGTGGCCCCGCTGCAGGCCCTGGGGGTCCACTAAGCTGTGTCTGCTCCCCCCCCACATAGTACAGCTCCCAGTGTGTGCCTGGCTGTGTGTGTCCCCACGGGCTGGTGGCCACTGGCGACGGCGGCTGCATCCCTGTGTCCGACTGCCCTTGTGTGCACAACGAGGCCAGCTACAAGCCGGGCCAGATCATCCGGGTGGGCTGCAACACCTGGTATGGGGAGGGGCTCGGACCCCAACTGGGGGAGGGTTCCCTGCAGCGGGAGGTACAGCCCGGCCAGCAAGTCCTGCCCCCACCCAGGCAGGCAGCTGGGCCTCTAGGAGGGAGGTTTGGGCCTGATGCCTGCCGCCCCTGCCCCAGCACCTGTAAGAGCAGGATGTGGCAGTGCACAGACCAGCCCTGCCCGGCCACCTGCGCGGTGTACGGTGACGGCCACTACCTCACCTTCGATGGGCAGCGCTACAGCTTTAGCGGGGACTGCAAGTACACGCTGCTTCAGGTATGTGGCTGCCGAGCCCTCCCGCCGCCCCGCAGCCCTGCTGTGCTGCCCCGCGGTGCACGCTCAGTCCCATCCCGGCCTCCCCAGGACCACTGTGGGGGGGACGGCAGCGCCCAGGACGGCAGCGCCCAGGACAGCTTCCATGTCATCACCGAGAACGTCCCCTGTGGCACCACCGGGACCACCTGCTCCAAGGCCATCAAGATCTTCCTGGGGGTGAGCAGTGGGTGGGGGCCTTGGTGGGGAGCCCCCAGGAAGGCCGCGCTCCCATGGCCGAGCTGGGACAGGGGCCGCAGGGCTATGGACCCGTTCGACAGGTAGCCAGGGTCCTCACCCAGACACTCGCTGGTCCTGCCCCACGCAGAGCTACGAGCTGAAGCTGAGTGACGGGAACATGGAGGTGATCGAGAAGGAACAGGGGCAGCTGCCACCCTTCTCCATTCGCCAGATGGGCAACTACCTGGTGGTAGACACGGATGTCAGCCTGGTGTTGCTGTGGGACAAGGGGACCAGCATCTTCCTTAGACTCAGCCCCGAGTTCAAGGTGAGGCCCTGCCCGGGAAGGACGCCGCCCTCGCCCCAGACCAAGGGCCGGCCGGAGACGGGGGTGCGGGTGGGGGAGAGACAGAGAGAGATGGTAGAAAAACAGAGAGACACAGAGAGATATAGAGAGACAGAGAGACAGACAGAGAGAAACCGAGAGGCAGAGAGACAGAGAGGAGGTGGCAGTAGGAGACCCTCGGCCGTGTCCGGGTCCTGCAGCTGCTGGAAGAAATGACCCTAGCTGGTGGCCCTTCCCTCGCAGTCTGGACACTAAGTCCAACCAGGTGCCCCAGGGCCACGTTCCCTCCAGAGGCTCGAGGGGAGGATCCTTCCCACCTCCTCCAGCTTCCGTGGCCCCAGGCGCCCCATCAGCCCAACCTCTGCATACGACGTCCCTTTACTGCCTTCGCTCTGTGTGTCCCTCGTCCTGTAAGGACACCGGCCACTGGTTCAGCCACCCCGGTCCAGGATGCCCTCGTCCTAACTTGATTGCATCCGCAGAGACCCTACTTCCGCTTTGGGCCACACTCGTGGGTCCCGGGTCAGGACCTGAGCCTGTCTTTGGGGGACACTCCGTAGCCACTAGGCTGCTTCTCCTGTGCCCTCCCCTCCTGGAGACTTCAGAGCCCAGCGGGGCTCTTCCTGAGGGCCCCGGGGTTGGTGGGGGGAGCGAGTGAGGTCGCAGGGCCCCTCCTGCGCTTGCCCTGAGCCTGTGCCATCTCTACGTCTGTCCGTCCGCAGGGGAGGGTCTGCGGGCTGTGTGGGAACTTTGACGACAACGCCCTCAACGACTTCACCACGCGGAGCCAGTCCGTGGTGGGCGACGTGCTGGAGTTCGGCAACAGCTGGAAATTCTCCCCGTCCTGCCCGGACGCCCAGGCCCCCAAGGACCCCTGCACCGCCAACCCGCACCGCAAGTCGTGGGCCCAGAAGCAGTGCAGCATCATCAACGGTGTCACCTTCAGCGCCTGCCACGCCCACGTACGCGGGGTGCTCCTCCAGGCACCTGGGGAAGAAGGGACAGAAATGGGAGCAGTGGCTCTTTGCCGCCCTCTAGGGCCAGCTGTGGCCATGAGGACCCGTCTGGCTGGCCTCATGGGACAACGAGCTCCAGGGGAAACCGGCCCAGGCCGACACCAGCTGCACTGATTCCCCGGAGCCCACAGGGATGGCGGGTCCCTCAGCATCTGAAGCCTCTCTCTCCCGTAGGTGGAATCGGCCAGGTACTACGAGGCCTGCGTGAGCGACGCGTGCGCCTGCGACTCGGGGGGTGACTGCGAGTGTTTTTGCACGGCCGTGGCCGCCTACGCCCAGGCCTGCCGCGAAGCGGGCGTGTGCGTGTCCTGGCGGACCCCGGACATCTGCCGTGAGTGCCCACGGATGTGTCCGTCAGGGTGGGGCGGAGACACAGGGAGTGACAAGAGTGGTATTGAATGTGCGAGGGGAGGAAGGGCTTGAAGGGAATCAGCAGAGCACCCCCCCTCCATGGAGCCTGGCCTCAGTGGGTGGGCGTCCCTGACAAGCCAGCCAGCCCCCCTCCCCACTGCCCCCTCTTGCCCCTGGGCATCCCAGGCCCATGTCCTCTAAAGCCGCGTCTGGGAGGCACAGAGGAGGGGCGTGTCTTCAGAACAGCTCGCAGGACTTGGTCAAGGATCGGGCTACAGGGGAGCGCCCCGGGGCTGTCCTTGCAAGGGCGGCACTCCGCCTGGGGCCCCCTGGGCCGAGCGCCTGGCCCTGAGCCTGCCCCCGTTGTC